CGCACTGTACAGGAAGCTTTCTGTTCGTTTCACGCACAATCCAGACAAACGATTCTATTCTTCTTTTTATAACAAAATAACAACGCCCTGTGACTATTGTCTAAGGTTCTCTCTCCTTTTTTTTTTTCTTATCAACGTTTTGAAAGAAAGAAGATGGAATCTTTTACATGTGTGTATTTTAACAATTTTAAACCCGTCGAATGCTTAATTTAATTTAGATTTTTACATAGTTACCAAGCCAAAAAAAAAAAAAAAAATATCAAAGATGAAGTACTATTTAAATGGAGAGAGAAAGAGGGGATAAATGATGGAAACAAAAACGACAGAGAGGAAGAAAGGATAAAGTAATAAGACCTACATTTTTAAATGTATACAAGAAGAAAAGCGTAAACACCCGACATCCTACGTGCAGGGCGCACACAAACACACACACACACACACAACATGCACGAGTTTATACAAACTGATTTTGTACGATCTAACAACTGGTTGCTCTGTTGCAAAAAAGAAATAATAAACGAAGGAATTTCTCGACTGATTTCCACGAACGAATGATAAATAATAATAAAAAAAAGAGAGAAAATAATAAGAAATGAAAGATAAAAAGGAATGTATGAATTCTCATTTTTGGGATACGGGTATGCACGCGTCTCTGCCGCGTTTCTTCGATACCTCGACAGTTTCCTGATATTTTTTCAAAAAGAGGATGGAAACGAGTGACATCGAGAGATAAAGAACGAACAACGAGAGAAATTCGGGCGGGTGGGGGAGAAACAGAGGAAATTAAAGAATTAGAAGAGAAGAGAGGGGAAAAAAACGATATCTTAACCTCAAATTTGAAGGGTCCATTTACATTCGCTTGTTGACGCACCAGTGAACACAGGTTAGTTGACGAATCCACAAATTCGAGGTGTTGTGACTCCTATTGACAAAAAAAAGAAACTTCGTGTGAATGATAATTGTGTATGTAGAATGATTAAAAGAAAAGAAAAAGGAACGAAAAAAACGGATGTTTCGTATGCAAGCTAAAATTACGATATAATATATTAAATATAAATATATTACGATT